GGTGGATTCTGTCTTTGGCCGTTCTTAGTTTCCTTTTGAATAATAGCTCTGCGGGACTGACGCCTGTCACAGTTGAAGGCGTACTATGTTGTGACAGTAGAAGTCTTGAAAGTTTCATCGCCCAGTCCCCCTCCACCAGCTTGGACAGCGTCTTCTTGGTGCTCTGGACCATTCTTTCTGCTTGTCCGTTTGAGGAAGGATGATATGGCGCCACTGTGATATGCCTGATTCCATTTCTCAGGCAAAACTCCTGGAACTCTGCCGACGTGAAAGAAGTACCGTTATCTGAAACAATTACTTTTGGGAGTCCATGTGTGGCGAATATCCCTCTCAGAACCTTGATAGTTTCTTGGCTAGATGTCCCTCGAACTTGTTTTACTTCCAGCCATTTTGAATATAAATCCACGATGAGTAAGAAAGTTTGACCCTTAAATGGTCCTGCATGATCAATGTGCAAGCGGGTCCATGGGTCTCGAGTTAATTCCCAAGGATGCAAAGGGGCCCGAGGTGAGGAATTGGACTCCTCGTGGCAACGCAGGCATGAATTTACTGCTTGTTCTATGCTCTGGTCGATTCCTGGCCAGTACACATAGCTTCTTGCTAAAGCCTTCATCCTGACTATGCCAATGTGCGCAGAATGTAATACTTGTAAAACTTCCTTCCTTGCTGCCTCTGGTATGCAAACTCTGCTTGTCCATAACAGGCAATTCCTGTAAACTGATAGTTCTAGCCTTTTACTATAATATGGCTTTAACTCTTCTGCAATTTTCCCATTTGGCCAACCTTGCAGGGTATAATTCATCACTTTTGAAATAATACGATCTTTACTTGATAAGTTGGCAATTGCTTTAGCATTGGCTGTCTTCTCGGGCATGTTCTCCATCATAAGGACATTTCCTACATTTACATGTGAGTCTTCCTTGTTGTTCGCTATCATCAGTCTGCTTAGAGCATCAGCATGGGCTACGCTTTTGCCTGGCCGGTATTTTAATTTGTAAGTGTAGTTTGACATGAATAATGCCCATCTTAATAATCTTGGTGAAGACGTCTCTGGAATGGGCTTGTTGTCTCCTAAAATTCCTAGCAATGGCTTATAATATGTGTAAATTGTGACTTTGTTTTCAAACACATAATTTCTTCAACCCCTCTATTATGGCTAATGCCTCTTTAACTAGCTGTGCATAGTTTTTCTGAGCTGCACTTAAGGCTTTGGAATAAAAAGCAATTGGGGCTTCTTTCCCTTCTTCAGTTAATTGGCTTAAAACTGCACCCACTCCAAATGGTGAGGCATCGCATGTAAGTATTAGTTCCTCGCCTGGGTTAAAATGTATTAGCATTGATTTGGAAGTAAGTAAGTTCTTTAAATCCTCGAAAAAATTGATAAGGCCTAAAAAACATTGTAAATCTCGTTTATTTTCTGGAACGGGGACTTTTCTAATAGCCTTTACTTTCTCTTCAGTTGGCCGAATGCCTCTCTTGTCAATTTCAAACCCTAAAAATTGAATTGTTTTCTGGTTAAAAACACATTTGTCTCTATTTAATTTAAGTCCGTCTTCACTTAGTCTATTTAAGATATCACAAACTCGCATGTACAGTTCATTTTCGTTTTTCGCACAAATTAAAATGTCATCAAAGTATATAAATGTTCCCGGCACACCACTGAGTCTAGTGTTCATAACCCTTTGAAAAATTTGTGGTGCAATGTTTATCCCGAATTGGAGACGCTTTACTTTAAACGTACCTTTATGTGTTATTATTGTTTGCACTTCACTACTTTGTTCATCGACACTTAAATGCTGATACGCTTGTGCCATGTCCAGCCTGGCAAACACAAACCCTCCGCCTAAACTTGCTAGCATGTCTCCCACCGAAGGCATTGGATACGGGTCTGTCTTTAATGCCTTGTTCACAGTGCATTTGTAGTCTGCACAAAGTCTTACTTTCCCGTTTGATTTAATAACAGGCACAATTGGTGTGGTCCACTTTGGATGATCTATTGGCTCCAAAATGCCCTGCATTTGTAATTTTTCTAACTCCTCCTCTATCTTGGGTTTTAATGCATAAGCAACCTTACGTGCCTTTAACAGGATCGGTGACACCTCTGGATCCAAATGTATTGGAGGCCCTTTGAAAACTCCTAACCATTCATCAAAAACATTCGGGAACTTCTCGAAAATGTTAGTAAACAAGCTCTCTTCAACTTTATTGATCCCTGAAATGGTTATACACAGATCAGCAAACCAATTCCTCCCTATTAGACTTGCTTTTGAGCTTTTTGTAATTATTAGTGGTAACTCTTTGCTTCTATTACCGTACTTCACCTTCACTTTTAGTTCGCCAGCCAATTCAATTTGTCTCTGCTGTCAGTCTCTTAGTTTTTTGTTGCATTCTAAAAGTTTGCAGTTACCAAAAATCCTTTTAAATAGGTTATAAGATAAAATGGAATGACTTGCCCCTGAATCAATTTCCATGTTACAGTCCTCGTTGTTGAGTAACACCTTGACTATGAATGGTTGATTCCTCGATACTGTTTGGCATTTGAAAATGTTTTCTTCACTTGTACTTCTGTTTATTGCTGAGATCTTATTTGTTGCTTTTTGTTTTTTTAAACACATTTTTTCGATATGTCCCAACTTTAAACAATATCTGCATTCTACATTCTTACATTTGCAGTTATTCGCGTAATGACACCCTCCACATCTAAAACATTTAACCTGTTTATCTTCTCTGTTTACATTTTGATTAGTCGTTCGCCATTTTGGTGTTTGACATTTACGTTGCCCTCTCTCGGATGACATTTCACTCTGCTTGTATCCTGCTTTACCGACTCGAATGGCGTTTACAGATTCCTCCTTCGGTTGCTCCTTTGATCCAGAGGTGGCGCGCAACTCGCCCACGTGGTGGTCCGCCGCTTCAAACGCGGTCTCCCGCGCTTTTTATACGTAAGCTCACCTTCCGCAAGGAGTCTTCTTTGAAGCGCCTCATCTCGTATTCCAAAGACGAGCCTGTCTCGTAGCATTGTTTCTAAATTTGTTCCAAAATTGCAGGTCTCACCTATCTTCTTTAATTCGGCGATGTAATTCGAAATGTTCTCGCTTGCTTTTTGATCTCGCTTGTGAAATTGACAGCGTTGAACGATCTCGGACTGCTTAGGGGCGAAATGGTTCGTCAGTGCTTCGATGATTTCGTTGAAAGACTTTTCCGACGGTTTTTTCGGAGCACACACGCTTTGTACGATTTCAAACGTTTTCGAACCGCACACGCTCAAGAGAATATCTTTCTTCTTTTCTAGCTCACCTGCTTTAATGCCGTTTGCCTCGAAGAAAAACTTAAGGCGTTCGACGTATACTTCCCATTTGTTAGGTTGATCCACATCAAAATCTTCGATGCAGCCAAAGGTAGCCATTTTCCACCGGTCTCTCCGTACTCCGTTCACGAACTCGAAAAATTTATCCTACCGACTTGCGCCAATAACGTGTTCACGGAGAGGTAATGAAACTCGTAGTAACAATTAACAACTATATTCCCTATTCGGTACAAACTAATTCCTAATTAACCCGTGTATGACTCGCGGTTATAGCGTGCTTGCTCTACCTTCGGATATACTCGACATACTGCCGCTTTCCTGCTGTTGGCGTGGCTTCTCCAGAATTGCACTGTTGCCAGTGATACATCACAGTGGTACAGTCTATTAGTCAAGACAAACCTAATCAAATTACTTACTTGAATTTATTCTCGATTTTATTATACGTCTGGGTACAACCAACTTCTAAGAAAATTTCTATGGAGTCGTTGGCAACGACAAAACATGAACGTGATTTTCAAGCTGCTTATGTTAACATACAATTGTTGTTTATGAAAAGAAAATTATTAATAAAGCACGAAACAGCACTAATTGAACGTAAATACATTCTTTACCTCTGGAAAATTCCGATAAATTCCAAAGAGCAGAGAAGAAATACCACCATATACGCCATCATAGAAAAAGAACGCCATTGGCAACGGATTATGGGAAACGTCGTGACGTTTCGTGACGACGGGTCGTCACGAACCCGTTCGGTTCTACCCGAAGAAGACCGATGTTTTTAAATTCAAAACTACACTGAAAAAATGTATCCTTATACCGAACAATTGTTAAATAAGTATAGATTGTTACGGTTGAAATAGGTGACAGCAAATGTTTGTGGTATTTATTACCACAACAAAAATGTTTTTAAGTCTTAGTAATGTTAAATGAAATGTCGTGTTACATATTAACCATTAATAGCTTCTTAAGCAGTACTACAACGTTGTGGTATCACTTCATCCAAACGGAATAAATACCTACTGAATTAAAAGGTTATCGATTATCGATTTTTTGGTGTTATGTAAAAGTATGCAGTAAAGGTTATAGGATAAAAGAGAACATGTTTTTCAACAAATTTTTATTAAAAAAATATATATAAAATTCTTAGAATAAAATAAATGATATCTTCTCCTTAACTTTTATGATAAACAAAAAAACCTAAACAAACAATAATACAATATTTATACTAAATATGAGAAGGTGTAACTTAAGTTATAACTATAGGTAATTACCTGCCATCGTATAATATAATAACTTAAGTTATAACTATAGGTAATTACCTGCCATCGTATAATCCAAAACAATACACTTGAAGTTAAAACACAAAACGAAACTATCACCTTTGAAAATTAATAATTTTGAAGTAACGCCGCAAACAACAATTGCACTTCAAATGTCAAAAGAGTTTCGACTGACCGTGAAGTAGATTATTGTTCTCTTATGATCATTCTTTCGAGGAATAATTTGGTTTTTTACCCGAATTTACTTTTTAAAAATCGATTTTTGACCGCCCAGATCGCTTAAATACCCTGCTGTGCGCCGGCGTGATAACAACCACAACAAAGCTCGCTAAAAATAAGTTAATGACGTTTATGACGTTAATTGAATAAAGGTTTTAATTTATAATATCAAATATAGTTTTGTATTGGAAAATATGGATGTAACTCTACAAAGACACTGCGCTAAATTTATTTATGTTATACCAGATGGATTAAAGGAATTAATAAGCGATATTTCAAGAGAGGTTAGTTTTCTTACTAGAATAACAATTAAGCACTTTTTTTTAATTTGTTTAAAGGTTTTACGAAGTCAACCTGAAGATATCTATATGTTTGTTGCAGATTATTTAGATGCTCTTTTAATTACGAGAGAAAATGCTAGAGGTAACAAAAACCGAGTTTTAAACAAACATAATTTATCTAATATATATTTCAGTTGCTATAAGACTTGTAAATACCATAACAGAAATAGCAATTACAACATTAGAACTTTTAACAAAAACAGGAATTGATTATGATGAGGCGGAAAAAATTGTCACTATTATGAATACTGTTTTCAAAAGATATATGGGGGTGGACCTAGACAAATCTCCGCCTATAATGCAAAGTGGTAAAAAATATACCTATGGGAAAGCATCCTTTTAAAAAAGAGCGTGCACAAATTTGTAACATTTATGTAATTTATAATTTTTGTAATTTATAAGTAATTAAAACCTTTTTTCCTAGAAAAAAATAATTAGTTTTGCGCACGCTCTTTTAGTGCCTACATAAGTAGGTATTAAATGAAAAAGTCGTATTAATTTAACTTCATATATGAAGTTAAATATATATCTATATATTTTTATTATTTCTAAATTCTTTCTTAAGAGGATATTGAAGATGCAAATGTTGTAACAGCAGTTTTCACTTTGGCGACTATTCCGGATGATGTGGCTGAAGAAGCGGCCCATATAATTCAAAATGCATTTAGAAAATTTAAAGCTAGACGCGAGATAGAAAAAAAGATTTTGCAAGGCATGGTGGACTGGAGGATTGCCGCCAGAAGCGCCATATATCTGTACCGAAAAACTGGCGTTACTAAAGAAGAAGCAGATCGGGCAGCTACACTTATTAAAGTAAGAAATATGTTTGCAATTTTAGGTAACCATCTAAAAAAGTGCCTACAATAAAATAGTATTTTATAGAATTTAAATATTCTCTCTGGAAGAAATTTATAAAAATTATTTTTAACACCAAAACAAAACACAAAGCACTTTGTGTTGTTTTGGTGTTGGGGAATATTTCTAATATTTGTGTAACTTATCACCAAAGTTGTCCTTTTTCAAGTATTATATTTTCAGTTTTAAATTTTATGGATGTTTTCTTCTTTTTTTATTAACATAGGCAGCCTATAAAGGATACTTTACAAGACGATTGATTAAAAAATTGAGCGCTCACATAGAACCCGATAGCGATGATGAAACAGAGCAGGAAGAGAAATCTTCCAGTGTTTCATATGAATTTACAACTTCTACAGAGTATGTTTATTATTATACATACAGTTTATATAGAAAATACGTGTATCGCTAAATATCATAGCTTTCTTGTCTCAAATAAGTTAACCCATTTTACGTATACAACAATTTAACACTTCCCAGCGCCTATAAACCAAGCAACTTTGGATATAGGGATAAAATATCTCCCATATAGTATCTTAATATCAGAACATATCCGATGTATGTAATTTTATGGATATGGATATTTTGATGTATATACGCGAATAATTTAATGGACATAACGTATTTTAATTTTTTCTGTTTTTAAGAGTGGGAGAATAATTTTTAAGAGTGAAAGACGCTGAGACTCTCGGCCCCAGAGACGGTTTTTCGAATTCAGTAGTAGACCCTTTACCGGCGATGGGTGATAGTCGAAGTTTGCTCTGAATTATTAATATGAATTAGCATTATTAACTTAATTTACTTTTAAAAATGATTCAGTTACTTAAAAAGTAACGTAATTACTTTTAACAGTAAATTCTTAATGAAAGGTGTAAAATCATTATTTGTTTTGCATTTAAGTAAAAGTGTTTCCTTATAAAAAAAGTTTAAGCATAAAAAATTCTTTTTAAAAACTAAAATAAAAAAAATTTTTGGTAACAAATTAAAATAAATAAATCAAGTCTCTAAAAACAAAACTAATAACCAAACTTTTTAAAATAAATGTCAATTAATTAATTAAAAACGTTTGTTATTGTTCTAATTGACGGAATAGAACGATCCGGATATTTAACTGAGAATAGGTCTCTTGTTTGACGTAGTTAATTGCCCAGCTTATCATGTCAATTTTCTTTTGCAATGTGTGGGATATTATAACTTATTAATTTATTTTAAAACGCTTGAAATACACATTAGCAAATGCAAAACATGACTGAATCGTCGCCTACGGAAATACGCTTACAATGGGAAGGGGCAAGATTTTAAATGAAAATACGGTATATTATCCAATTGTCCTGTATCATGGTGGAAACTAACGTTTTCGCAAAAAATTACTAACGTTAGCAATTTTTATAATTTATTGTTAGAAACCTAAAGTTAATAATATAACACAAAAACATACAATTATCTAACGTAAGCAATTTGTATAATTTTTTGTTAGTAAATTTAACGTTGGAAATTTGTATTATTTATTGTTTATTGTTTATTATTCAACGTTAGCAATTCGTATAATTTATTGATAGAAAACTAACGTTGTAATATAACCCAAAAACATACAATTACAGGCCACGCGGTGTAAGTTGGAGACACATGAAACACTGAAAAAAAAGGCTGTTGAAACAACAACAAAAATATTAATTAAACTCTTTATGCACTTTAAATACAAGCAATGGTTTTGCACGTTTACTTAACCATCTAAAAATGTCAAATTGTATTGTTTAATTGAACAACAAATATTAGTCAAATGAAGAAAATGAGAATATTTGTTCTATAGAACCTGCTAATCTGGTTAATTAAACATTCTTGATATGTCGGAGTAATATTTCGAAAATGGTTGTGCTAACATTTTTAAGATGTTAAGGTAAATTTCTTGAAATGTCCAGGTAACCTTTTTAGCATATTCACTTAACACCAATAAAATGTTAAATTAAAATAATTTGCATTAATGTTGGGTTAATTAAATTATGGAATTTATATAAAGAGAAAGAATTGAACCTTCCCTCGCCAGAGTTTTTGTTTTGAGTGCGTTCCACCTACTTCAAATACCTACCTAGTCGGTAGTACCGACACACAGCTGATTCGACCTATTTGGGGGTCTTATCAGTGTCAGGCAATTTGGTGTAGTGGAAGTTCCACTGTGGAACACACCCAAAACAAACGGCTACCTGAGCTTATATACTCCTATCGTAAGCCAACTGAGGCGAGATGTAAGAACATCACGTGATCAACACCGTCTAATGACGTGGCGTGGGTGTTCGAAGCACCCTTCTCGGCAATTTTATGAATGCAAAATTAACAAATTTTAAAGTAACATTTACAATTTGTTAAATGAACAAATTTAATGTTTTGGATTTAAAGAGCAAATAAACGTTAATTTAATAGTTTTTTGAGGTAATCCTAAAAATTTCAGTATTTGATTCAACCAATTCCAGCTATTAAATCAAAATAGGATAAACATTTTAATTCAAAAAATTAGTTTATGTTAAATCAATATTTTAACTGTCAAATGAACAAATAAACTTTGACAAACTCTGACTATTGCTTTGACACCAAAATATAGATTAATCCAATAAGTTTTTTGATGAAACAACATTTTCAAAAATAACATTTAGGCAAACGTTAACTCAACTACATTATTTTTTTCGGTGCATGCGTGGCCCTTGATACTTGTATACAGTGGCTTAGCTACAGGGGCAGCAGGGGCATCATTTGCTGCCCGGCGCCAGCATAGTTTATGCGCCTTCATTATTATTTCCTACAAATCCTTTATGTTCTAAAATACAAAATACCTACATAAATTAATTATATCTTTTCATCACTTATATTTATTGTCTATGCGCGCAACTGAAACTCGGAAGCCGGCTCTATACGTCGGAAATCCAATGCCGCCTGCCGAAACGTTTAACGATTACGGCTGCGGGCCAAAGATGGAACTGAGCAGTAGACGCACAAAATTGACCGCCCTGCTGAAAAAGACGGGTAATATCGAATGATTGCGGATAAAAAACCAAGCTAGTTTTATGTCCATTTATACCTATCTGTTTTCATCCGACATATCTTACCCGACATGTCGGTTTTTATCTGCAATTGCGAGTATAAATATTATCCGCGAACGTCGGGTTTTATCTATTTAGTTCTTCTTTCATCTGGTTTCATCCACAAATACCTGTATTTGGGTTTATATCTGCATTCACACGGTTTTATTTGCAAATACCGTCAGTTTTTACCCGGTTTTATCTGCGTCTGCCTTCATTTACTTTTTTGCCTGCTTACATCCGGTGTCATCCGCGATTATCTGATTTTATCCGGTTTCACTTGCAAACATCGGCTTTCATCTGCGAACGTCTGATTTTATCCGCAAACATCTATTTTAATCCGCAAACGTCTGCTTCATCTGATTTCACCTGCAAACATCTGCTTTTATCCGTGAAGATCTGCTTTTATTCGTAAACGTCTGCTTTAATCCGCAAACATCTGTCTTTATCCGCAAACATCTGCATTTATCCGAGAACTCCTGCTTTAGTTTAGTTTATTGCTTATAACAAATGTTTTAGCAGTGTCAAAGTTACAAAAAGAAAAAAAAAATACATGTATTGTATATAAATTATGTAGGTACCTATACTTAAAATTAAGTTAATGTGGATGAGATCGCATGGTTATTTAAAATCGATTAAATTGATTATAGTTGAAATCTACAAATTCCGCCGTAGAGTAGAAACATCTACGCGCCAAAAATGAGCTCACAGTGGTCTTAAAATTGTTAACTGAGAGGCTTCTTATCTCTACGAAGAAGATTAAAAAAAGTTAGTCCCCAGTAGTCAATACTGTTTCTGCTTCTTTTAAGCCTATGGAAGTTTATATGTATGTTTGCACTATTTCTGATGTTTTTATTGTTTGTTTCCAATCGCGTTTGGTAATCACTGCGGTTTTCCCTGATATAGTTAAGGCACTGATATATGAACATACAGGGTAAGGTTAAAATACCTAATTCAACAAAAGCGTCTTTGCAGTCATTCCGATAATGAAGTTTTTTTAATATTCTTATTGCTTGTCGTTGTATTTTAAAGTCTTTGACTACTTGGCGAGTGTCCCCAGGCAAGAAGTGCGTAGGAAAGTCTAGAATGGATTAATGCATAATATGCGGTCAGAAGGACAAAGTCTGACACAATTCCATTAAGACGACGAAGAACAAATACATATTTAGAGGTTACTGATGCTACTGTATCAATATGGGCAGACCAGGTAAGCCCACGGTCAAGTGTGACACCCAAAAACTTGATGGAGTCAGGATTGATTAAATTTGGCAGAGGCCTTAAGGAGAAGTAGCACGTCGTGGTCTTGTCAAGGTTTAGAGTGAGTTTATTATTAATAAACCACTGATAGAGCCTCGACTGCGTCTCGAGTAATTCCTCTTCAAGAGTGACAAGGTTCTTATTTGTTCTTACTACGGTCGTATCGTCCGCAAACAGAAAAAGTTCAATGTTAGGAACATAAAACGATATATCGTTAATGTACAACAAAAAGAGGATGGGACCCAGTACTGATCCCTGAGGAACACCGAGCAGTACCGGAAGCAGGTCCGAATTCCCATTGTTGACATTGACTAGTTGAAATCTGTTGCTGAGAAACAAACTCAACATGGACAAAGTATTCTGTGATAGGTAACCTATCATAGGTTGTAGATGGATAGATTTCTTAGTAAAATTTCACTCGAGACGCAGTCGAAAGCTTTAGATAGATCACACAAAATCGAAGCTAAAAACTCCTTCTCTTCAAACGCGTCTGAGATCAAGCGAGTTAAGCCACACACTGCCATAGTCGTAGACTTACCGGGCCTAAATCCAAATTGACAATTTAAAATTAGAGCATTATCTTCAAAGTGTTTAGAGAGTTGTTTTGCAAGTGCTTTTTCAAATACTTTA